ATTTAAAATGACAACTTTTTCACAAAAAATTAACTTTTTCAACTTAACTTTTGAAAGTGTTCCGGAAGGTCTGACACTTTTATATATATCTTAAATTAAAGTTAATGTAATGCACTTTATTAAGGAAAAAAAAAATTTGACCTCTGGACTTGTCTTCGTGGTGAAAATGGCTTTCCAAATGCTATTTTTGTATGAAAATTCTCGATTTTATATTTTACATTTTTAACTTTATAATGCTATAACTTATTGAAAAGTGTATGGATCAACATAATTTTTTTATGAGAAATAATATTTTTTAAAAATCTCTTTTTCATCCAGGCTATAAATAAGGAAATAGCAGATCATGTAGCTTTTGGAATAATCCACTAATTTTTAAAATTAAACACTATCTAAAGATTTGCATCGAAGCGTTTTATTTTTTATAGTGATTTTAATCACTGTCACATATCATTATACTTGATCCAACTATGCCACGTCACCACTGTGACGCGACCCCCCTGTGCTGGGTTTTTTTTTATAGTACATTTTGACTATAATCAAAATTAAAATACTTACATTAATGTAAGTTTATTTACAAAAGTATCTATCTAATGCTCTATTTTTGAAACGCATTAAATGAACAATAATAAGTACATCATGAAATTGTCAATGACATAATATTAATGTATTGTTAAATAACCAGTGCACGTTTCATCGTCATCAAAACTTGGAGTTACCGTCTGTCATTTACAATGAATGGAATGTGTCATGTATTTGCGACACTGGATATTTATGGGACTCCAGGTAATTGATACATTTGGTAACTTTTATAAAACTAACAAAGTATAAGAATAAATAAAAGCAGTATTGAATTTCTTTTGAGAACAGAAATTTCAAGACAAAATATTAGAACCTCATTACATTTTTAGAAATCAATTAAAAGGAATATGACTAATATAAGCTAAACATTTACTTTTTTTTTATAAACAATTAAATTTCACTTAAATAGCGGTATAAAAATGTAGTTCAATTTGATTAGTTTTTTTGTAATAAAAAATAATATTAAATTGTAAGATAGATTGTAAAATTTATTATATAAAATAAATAACATTGTTTATAGGCAATAAAATACAATAGCTTTGCATTTTATTTAAATAAATATTTATCAGGTACGGCATGTGTATTGATGTAAATGAATGTTCCGATGGATTACAAAAGTGCGATGATAAATCGGAAACTTGTATAAATTTACCAGGAAGATACAAGTGTATTTGCCGATGGGGATACATGTGGATTGATGATGAACAAGCTTGCGTTGTAGACATATCAGTGAAAAATGCGGAAATTCGGTTCGTTATTTTGAGATATAAAAAAAATTTTTTTGATTATACACTCTTCGTAAATATTTGAATAATTGCTTTCAATTTATATTAATCAATCTCCTAATTAAGCTATATGATTATTTATTGATATATTAAGATAATACTATTTGTAAAAATAAAATTAAAAAAACAACTTACGTCTTACTTACTTATACTTATGTATAAATCCTATGTTGTAATTTAATTAAATATTTGTTCAATATCGTACTTGTATATAATATAACAGTCGATTATCAAACTGCAGAATTAAAAAAAGACTCAATTTTTGAATCATTTTTTCCCCGTGATTTATAATTAAAAATTGGTAGGAAGACCTTAATTAAACATTTTTTTTCTTGATAAGCATAGCAAAATTCAATATGAATAATTTTCATGTTTAGGTTTGGATTACGAAACGTTCCAAGTATACAAAAATCAGAGTCAATTTCAATTTATTCTAACTTTTGGAATTATTTAAAAAATATATATCAAAAGTTTACGATTTTCAATTAAATTTTATTTTGAACTGTTGTAGCTTTATAAAATATAATGTTTCTTTTTTTTGTTCTTAGAAATAAAACATTTGTACTATTTTGACTTTTTTTATAATATAGAAAAATAATATCCAATATATTTTATAGAAATCTAATTTTATGTTATTCTTTTTTTATAATTAATAATTCAAATTTGAGTAACTTGTATACTTTGTTAAGTGTACATAAAAAACTGTCCATAGATTCTGATGGTTTAAATATTCTTAGAAAATCAACTTCAAAGGTGTTATTGGTTTTCCAAACCATAAATATTTTATTTTGTCAAAAATAATTAATTTTCTTTTTGATATTTATAAATACTTTGTATGTTACATTTTGGGTAGTTTATACGCATAGTTGAGCATAAAGATAACATGTTTCCTATGAAATAACCTCTCCTTGACAGGACTAAGAGGCGCCAAAATATTTAAGCTAACCTAAATGGCGCCATGTCATTAGTAACTATGAGTATAATGTGAAAAAATTAGTATTTAATAATATTAAATTAATCGATAAAATAAATATAACTCGAGATGTTTCTTCAAATAGTTTAATAGGTTTTACTTACTCTTGTTATTGTTTCCAATTGGTGTGTTTTATAAATGAATCTATTAAAGGAGATAAAATAATAAAAAGAACCCAGAAGTATAAACATATATAAATTTTGTTTAAACCACATTGAAAGATTCCAACTTTATCGTAATATACTTGTCACTATCATAATAGGCAATAACAGTAGGTCGCCCTATTTATGTTCACAATACTAGTTTTCCTATTAATATTTTCTGTTAAGATAATCAAAATTTCCATTATACATTACAATCTTATTATAAGAAGAGCATGATTTTTTTAAAATAAAAATATTCAAAAAAATAAATTAGAGAAATATTTAATAAACGCATACTGTTTAATCATATTATGTTGTACACATATCAATCATAAATCAATTGTTTGTGACTTTTAAAATCACTCTTTACCGAGGAATAATCTATAAATTATACTTGTCATTTCTTTTAGCTTCGATGCAAAGCTGAGAAGGTATAAAATTTTTTTCAAGCTTAATTTTTGAAAATGTTAAGAAAATACTGACACTATTATAAATATCTTAAATTAAAGCTTGTGTTGTATACTTTAATATGAAAAAAAATGTCGAACTTTTTATTGTCTTTATGATGAAAATGGCTACCGTATTCAAAAATATGCTATTAATATGTCAAAATATTTTTTATTTTATATTTCTATAAAATTTTTATATTAAAATACCTTACAAAGGCTTGCCAAAGTAATTAGTCCACAGATATTTATAAAAGTTACATGAATCTTAATTTAAATTAAATTAAATTGAATATAAATTTCAACTTATTTTGAATATTTTGCTCCTACGTTAAAAGAAACAATTTTAAATTTTCGATCTAGCTTAAATTATCTTTTTTATGCGAACACATGTGAAATATACGGTTGTCGATTCGGTCATACCTCAGTGTTTCACTCTTAGGGTACGACGGGCAATCCGTCCATTAAATGGCTTTTTTTTCTTAAATATTTTTCATGTGAAAATTTTTTTTTTATTTTTATTGCTAATTTATAAAAACAAGTATATCCATTTAAAAATTGATTTTTATTTTTATATATTAAAAATAATCCGTACGAAATTTCAATTTAAAATGTCATGTTTAACCTATTTTTTTGTCTTTAAAGTAGATTTTTCATGAAAGTTTATAATTAAAAAATGTCGAACCTTTAACGTTTTTTAATAATATAATAAATTTGTTGTTAATATAATTAACATCAAATTATTTTCTAAAAAGTTTTATATCCAGACCTTCAACTTTTATATACGTTTGCCATAAAAATAATAACTACTTTATAATTGTTTATCATTTCTCCGTAAAAATTACAATACTAATTTATTAAATATCAATTTCATACTATATTTAATTGCTATAATAAATATTTATTTATATATTACACATATAAATCATAAAACTTGTAATCAGGATATAATTAAGGAAATAGGAGATCATGTTTCTTTTGGAATAATCCACCAAATTTTTAATATTAAACACTATATACAGATTTGCATTGAAGCGTTTTTTATGATAATGATTTTAATCACTGTCAGATATCATATATACTTGTTCCATGTATGTCACTTCCATCTGTGTTGTGACTACACTGTGCTACTGTTTTTTTATTCTAATCTTAATAATTAAACGGATTGTGTCAACCCTAATCTTAAGTATAAGAAACTATATTAATGTTATATAAAATGTCAAAATGGTATACTATTCTCGTATAATAATTTATACATTATATGCTTATTTATCAATAAACAATAACATTGTAAGATTGAGACAATGATAATTTTTGGGAATATAAAACATTAGGGTTAATCAACATAATATTTTTCAATATCGATATTGTACCTAATTTTAGCAATGTATGGCAACATCGAAAAAAAAAAATTGTACCCGATATCGCAATATATCAGTATCGTAATTCTATATTTCATAATATATTTTAATACAAAAAATATTTACAGCATTATCACAAACTTTTTTTGGTCTAATATCGAATAATACATATATTATAATAGAGTAACCAAAATTCAAACAGTCTTTTTTTGTAAAAAATGTTTTTTGATTATCGCGATATTTCAAAAATAATCGATATCGTGGAAAAAATGAAAAAACTCGGCGATATCGATATTGAATCAAAATTGAGACGAACCCTATAAAAAATTTTAAAAGGCAGAGTAATCCCTTACAGTATGGTAATCGCGCACTTGATATCGATATGTTCATCACTGTCGAAATTGTAACGTGTTGAAGTTGTGAACTAAAAATCGAATTTGTGTTATTTTCTTTGCCAATTACTAATTAACACTAACACTGAAATTATTCTATGAACTAAGAAAAATTATCAAGTAAGATTTCAAATTAATAATAATTAATACATATATTATTTTATGACCCTCGAGTAAAAGTAAATCTCACTTTTATCAAACACCTTTAATATTTTCTTATATTAATCTTTTACAATTTAATTAAGAAAACAAGTGTTTAACTCTTTCTTTTGTTTTTTCTTTTATAAAGTTTTGAGTTACAATAGCTTGTGCGACTTTTTGTAGGAGTATTTAGAATACGCTGATATATTTTTTATAGGAATGTCCCCCCTCAAAAATACCATTCCAGGTGACAACACATTACTAATTTGTAATCATTTAAAGTTTAAAATTTAATGAAATTTAATTGTTTTATTGCTTATTTCAAAATATATGAAGAAAATTAATCTCATTAAATAATGAAAGCTTTTCTAAAAATTTTATATGGTATAAAAGTAATTAACTTAATAGACAATTTTTAACGTACTAATCCTTAAAAAGGTTATAATGATACACGATAAATTTCCAGTATTGGCCACAACTGATACTAACTTTACCCCTTACATGGCGCCATAAAAATAAACGAGGGTCATCAAGCTACTTGGCAAGACATAAAATAGGCCAAAGTAGGATTTTTAAAGTAAAATAAAAAATTAAACATAGAAGTTAATTTGTTATTTTCAAAAATAAAAATAATAAAAGAAAACAGTCATGTTGTTTAATTTTATATGCAATAATTAAGTTAAACTACTGAAGTAAGATAGAAAAAACATGTTTTATATGATTGATCATGTCAAATTAAATATTAAATATAGGTACATATAAACTAATTAAAGATATAGTTGAAGTCCGTTAAGTTGTTGATAGTTGATGTACACCAAAACTTCATGACAAGTTGACACGTTACCCTGAATAACTAAAGAATATCTAATTCAAGATACGTTGCTCGTACTTTGTAATCTAGGGAAGATGATTTTTGAAGGTAAAGAAGTATGTAACAAACGAGTTCATTGAAGATGGAACATGCGAAAAAAAGATTTTGTGATCGGGCTAAATTTAGGAGATTTCATTAAAAAAAAAGGAAAACCAGTTAACACGAGGCAAAAAACCGAACGGTTAATAAACCTCGTCTATAATTAAAAGGAACAAGACAAAAAAAATCAGACATTACTTAAGGATTATTACACCCTTAACTTTTGTAATAGAAAATACGATGAACGTCTTGGGTACCTGCCGACCGTACAGCACAGCAATACCACTAAAGTACGACATGTATACGCCCCAAGTATTAGATAGGTTTATACAGTTAGACTTATAAGTCTAACTGTCCCAATGCCATACAAACTATAGTTCGCAAAACATTGGCACACCTCGGAAAAAATATTCACCATGGCAACATATTGTTATAAAATATATCAGTACAATATAATAAATTAATAATTTAATACGGGCGGACGGTGTTATGAAACTTTCTTTGTCATGGGGGACCTTAAAACCTATTAAAAAAAAAACAATAAAATATTAATTTGACGAATAGTGACAATGCAGTTTAGTACTACATGGTGGCGCTCAAAAGGGGAGGAGAGTACACTCAAACGCCGTCTATGAACCAGTTCGAAGTAGCACACAGCTGACCGCTCTGAGCACGAACAAAAAGTCGTAACACTCTAACAAAGGAAGACAAAGTCACATAACAAAGACAGTCAGCTCAACCAGTATAAAAATTTAATAAAATATGCAAGATGAATAAATAAAAACAGAACCTATTTTGCCTTAAAAGATGTAAAAATTATTTTTACATATTTTTTTAAGTTATTATCAACTTGAATAAAAAAAAAAACAATATTTTTGTAGGAGTAGTTACGTTTATTAAAAAAGGTATTACTGCAGATTAAAGACACTTTTGCTTTCAATTAACTTACAGATTTATTAGGCTATTTTAAAAATAAATATGAAATTCTAATATTTGTTTACCACATTTTTAGATTTTACATGAAATAAAATAGCTGGTTAAATTTAAATTTCAAGAAGAAAAATTTAATAGTTAATCATTTAGAATAAATATTTTAAAAATAGCTATATTTTATTTATCGTATCAAGGAAAATGATTATAATTGAGTTATTATATACTATCTAAAAAAAACTGTTTAAGGTAATGAACCTTCGTGACATCATAGCATGTATGTAGTATTTGATTTAAGGATATCGCAAAAAGTNTTAACTGTTTAACCTTCGTGACATCATAGCATGTATGTAGTATTTGATTTAAGGATATCGCAAAAAGTAAAAATGCATGAGACCTAAGAGCTGTGTAATGGATTGTTTCTTCGCTTCAAGAAATTGGTTTCACCAACCCCACTGGCCTGTGTTGTTTATGTGCAGTAGTATAAAATATAATATATTCTCGATCCGAATTTCAATATAATACCCAAATGATGCTTATTCAGTACTTCTAAACGAAAAATAAATTATGTTAAATCGATAAACGTTTACGCAAAAATGACCCCTGCTGTCTATTATCATTAGCGTTAATATGGGGTACATTTTTTTGAAAATTAAGGTAATATTCATGGGAATATTACAAAAAACTAACTGAGTGTTTATTTTTATCAACTAATTATAAAGTCATACATTATTCCTCATTAATCAATTTTATTTATATAAATTTCATATTTTAACATCAACAAAGATTTATAATATTACTAATCGGATATTTATACATTTGTAATGGATCCCACACCCATTACAAGGGCCGACAGCATAAAGCAGAAAATAAAAATTTTACAAAATATAAAGGGTCTATAGTATAGTAGGCCTTAAAAAAAATTGATACATTTTTTTTATCAAGCAGATTTTTAATATCAATTAAAACCACTTCGTGTTGTGCTAACGATTTTATAGTTTTTATAATTTGGTATTTTTAGCGAAACAATTTTTATTTAGTATACTTAAATTACATATGTTATTAAGTATCTACGTTTTGATATAGATAGTAGATTTTTTACGTTAATAGCGAAATTCTAATTGGAATATTTATTTGTTTACAACGGATCTATCATTAAATTTAAAAATAGTATATTTTCTGTAATATTTTTCATAATTTATATTTAAGTTATATATATACACAGTGATTTTTTTATCATAACCCGCTCAATTACTTGCAGAATAAATATAATTTAAACATTTTTTTTTTTTGTTTTTTTTAGTTACACATTATTCTTGAATTAACAACTACGTAATACTTTTTAAGTTCATCCCTTATGCCTGGTAAGGGCGTCAACTTTGTTTTTTCAAGTGGGAACACATATTTTGAATTTAATAAAATGTTTGAGTTTTTAATTTAATAGTAAATGGCATTTGAATTTTTAGTAGAACTTTATTTGTTTATTAGATATAAACATTGAAAGTTTCAAATTTTTGAGTTAATATATAGGTATAATACACAAGGGATTACAAATACAGGTAGCTAATTGGTTTTTTATGACATCGATATTAGCAGGTACACAGCATTGTTATTATCAATGATAGTAAGGCAAATTGTTGTGAGTTTATAAATACACTAACTGACAATACAGAAAGTATATCTATTGATAGTCATAATTGATAATAAACAATCCGTGACTATGACAGCAATGTCATAAAAATCCAATTAGCTACTTGTATTTTTAATCCCTTATGTATTATACATGTATATTAACTCAAAAATTTTAAACTTTATATGTTTATATCTAATAAACGAATATAGTTATATTAAAAATTCAAATGTCATTTACTATTAAATTAAAAACACAAACATTTTATTAAATTCAAAATATGTGTTCCCATTTAAAAAAACAAAGTTGACACCTTTACCAGGCATAAGGGATGGACTTAAAAAGTATTATATAGTTAATAATTCAAGAATAATGTGTAACAAAAAAAAACTGTTTAAATTATTATTACTCTTTAAGTAATTGAGTGGGTTATGATAAATAAATCACTCTGTATATATATATGTAATTATGTATCAATATATGTAAATTAATTGTACTTTTTACTGATATATATTTGACCTTAATAAAATAAATAAATTAATAAAATTTACTCTATTAGTAAACTAAATAATTTATACTATCGACCAAATAGGGGACCAAACCAATGTTATGATTCTATTTATAACATCATACAAAATGTTCAACCTACACTACTTGACCTTTATTATGAATAATTATTTATGGGGTCAATTATAAAGTTTCTGGTTGGATATTTTAAGAACGATTAAGATTTTTTTAATTAAAAATTGGCAATCTTGAAAACTTCGAAATATTAAGAAATTTATGTAAACATTTTTATACTATCTAAAGCGGATGTAAAGATTTTAACAATTCTTGGAAGGTGTTTTGAGTAAACTGAAAAAAAAATTACCGAATTAAAATATATTTATATAAAACTTCTATAAATCATTATCTGTAACAAATAATTTAAAGGTAGATATACATGACAAGATGAAATCCATTCCCAATTTTAATATTTAAAACCTAGACGGCCAAAATAAAACGGTCATCTTATACAAAAGAAAAACATTGGCAGTGGAGATATGTTCAGTGTCATTAATAATTTGTTGACTTCGACATCTTTTTTAAATTAGTTTTTTGTAACTTTAACTGTAATCAATTATTTTTATAGAGTCTCTTTAAAATGGAAAAACCTAAAAAGGCATGAACTGAAACGGAAACAACTTACAATGCTATATTTTGCAAAAGTTATGAATACTGTATTTCGTATTAAAAGTGCTCTTAAATAATTTTTTCGTTTTATCTTCGTAAAAGTACCTAGAATAGTAACTAACTTGAATTTTTTCCTTTCGCAGCAAATCAACAAGAACTTTTAAGTATTGGTAAGTTATCCTGAATGCAATACTATAAATTCTCCATTAAAAATAAGTTTTTCTGGAATTTTTTGAGATAAAATATTTTTTAATTCTTATGAGTAAACAAGAATACTTTTTTCTATCAAATAATAAAAAAAAAGTGTAACCTAATAATTTATGGTTAGTTGATAGATATAAAACTTTATAATCGATTAGTCTGAAATACTTGATATGGAATCGTTTTTATTCACTATATTTTTGATAACAAATTATCATTAAACATATGCATAATGTTCTGGTGTAACCGATTTGTGGGTATCTTGTGGATTACTTAAACGGCTAGTAAAGCGATTATCTCTTTTAAACACCCCTGTGAGTGGTTTGTGTATTGATTCTTTTGCTTTGATCTTGTTAATTTCTTTTAGATGAACAGTTATTGCTATATCACCGTACAATGGATACTTGCGCTTAAGCTAAAATACAAATACAAATTTTTCAGTGTTAATTAAATATCTGGAAAATATAAAAAAATAATTTATGTAGTAAGGTAGAGAAGAACTTTATTTTAACAAATATTTTTGCTAATGGCTTAGCAACCGAAACTCTAAATCAAATAAAAATATTTATTCATGTTACAATTTTTTTAAAAATGATTCTCCCATTATTTCGCTAAATAAAGGTCTTTTCATAAATATTTATAAATTAAAATTTGTTTTATTTTTATAAACTATAGTAAATATCAAGTTTATTTAAGAAACATTTATTTTCAAGGGTAGATTTTAGTAGTAACTTTTGAAAGTTAGATGGGAACCTATTATTATTATTTTATTATAAAATATAGAATGGTCTAAATAATATATTACATAGCCGATTATCAGTTATGCTTTATTTCTTTTTGATTTAATGTAATTTTTAGTTATAAACGAGAGGGATGCGAAACGTTGAAGAATTGTTATCTGTGCGACTTCTCTTATTCTTATCTGATAAATATATAGTGTCGCTAAACACTACCTCCCTCCTCACTTTTCCTAAATATTTAAATGCTAATACCTCAAATAGTAATATTTGAAAATACAAACTGATAATTATTTTGGTTTTAGTAATATCAGAGGCTACAATAATCTATCATATCATCAAACTAAAAATAGGAGTTCTCATTAAAAAAAATTTAAGTTTAGGATTTTTATCCCTGAAGGGATGAAAATAAAAATGTATTTTATTGCATATAATTTTATATAAGTTTTTTGAATCGAACAATATTTTCCTTTACTAAAATTAAAAATTTTCAATAGTTTCATATAAAACGAGTGTCTTAATGAATCATTTGTATACGTACAGAATGATCCGCTTTCTATGTCTCACACAATATCTACAAATGTATTTGATAAAATATAATTTTTTTTATTCAAAAGGTATGAGTATCTTTCACACTTCAAATAATAGAAAAAAATAAAGCTCAATCTTCTCTTTAAAATTACATCATCTTTAATTTTTTAAATGGAAACATGCTTAATTTACTTACAAATAAGAAAATAATATAACTAAAAATATGATCGTTCAATAACAACTTTTCAAACATTTTTTTAAAAAATAATAGCATTTTTATACCAAGGAAGTAATGCTGTTTTTTAATGTCTAAATATAAAAATTTATAGGTTCCACGTTTCATCTTCAATTTTTTTGATTAAGTATTAATAGTTTTCAAAATTTTATATCGGCCACTTATTTTCTTAGTTAGATCATTTTTTTTTATTTATAATCCAGTTAAGTATGTATGTATACATTTACAAAATAAAAGACGAATAAAGTTAAAAGTAAAAAAACGAAGGATTGAGCTATATTTTTTTGTATTAATTTAAATGTGTAGGATACTAATAGTAGCGTATTTAGAGGGGTCACAGGGACATGTTCTCCCCCATTGGCTGAGTCATGTATATATTTTATCAAGTAATGTAATAATGTATAATATAATTAGAAAAATCGTTATTTTTTTATTATCAATAATAACACGCGCTTATGAAATGTTAATCGATATAGTTGTCTTAAGGAGCAAACACACAGTTGTCCCGTTAATGTTATCACCTATTTTTAAAGTATTTATTACTAAGAGATACACACTGTATAAAAAGAAATATTTTTATTAATAAAAATGGATTGAAAAAAATAACAAATTCTTTTCAAAAAAATCTAATTTTATATGTGATAATAAAAATTATGAGCAAAAAAAAATCGTTTTATGGTACTTTATTAATGAACATTGTTTGTGACCCCTCTCTTCCCATTATAAATTTCTAAATATGCTACTAGATAATAATATCTTTTGAAAAGAAAGAAAGGTTCAAGTGTGATTTTTGTTATCATAAATTAGAATAAAAAATTATTTAAATAGAACAAAATAACAAAAAAAAGAAATATATATATATATATATATGTAAAACTATAATCATTAAAATATGTTAATTTAACAATTCTTTACTGTTTTGGCAGACACTAAGCAGTTGGAATTGATACGAGGAAGAAGAAGAAGAACAATTCATTACTGTTTGCTATTTCAATGAAAGTTTCTATAATTATATCCAAGCTGTTTAAAGTTCCTTGATTATTTAATTCTGAAATCATTGATACGTTTAACATTATAATAATGTTATAATGTTGAACATTTCAATGTTTCATTAGAATACTATAATAATTTCAATGAAATTTTTATTCTAAATACTAGACATTTCATACTAAAATAATTAAGCCATTTGTTTACATTGACTGGTTCTTAACATCATAGGAATTTAAAACATTTTAGGGTATTTAATATTATTTATTGAATTAACTGTAAATGACATTAGATTATTGTTTATGTTATAACACATTATAACTTGCCTATTATTTTTTTAAAAACAAAACAATTTTTTCCCTTCAATATCACTTAATTTAATAATAAGTTAACATATCACTATCATCTACAAAGCTGTGAATTATATGCATTTATTACCTTTATTTGAGACACTTTGACAAGTCTCAAGTTTATACAACATTATCGTAGTAAAGAAATATTTTTTTTAAAGGGGAATTAGGCCCTCTAACTCCCCCAAAACTATAACACCGAGAAAAACACATTTATAAGATTTCAAGTCAATTAATAAATATTTGTACTGGCTTTCAGTGTAATTTGGATTATCAATACAATTTTTTTATGAGAAATAATATTTATATCCTTCTTTCAAACGACATACTTTTTTTTGAAATCGAACCAATTCCCTTAATACAGAGGGGTTCAAAACTTAAAAATGCATATAGAAAGTAGAACTTTTTAAACTTAAATTTTGAAAGTGTTCTGGAAAGACGGACACTTTTCTATATATCTTAAATTAAAGCTTATGTGATATATATTATTATGAAAAAAATAATTTCGGACATTATTTTGTTTTCATGGTGAAAACGGACATCAAAAGTAATAAAAAAATTATAATTTTTTTTGTAAAAAATTCTTTTTTATATTTTTAACTTTATAATGCTATAACTTTTTGAAAAATGTATGGATCAATACAATTTTTTTATGATAATTACTATTTATATAACTCTTTCGTTCGACATACTTTTTTTTAAATAAAACCATTTATATATTATAAATATATAGAGTAATTCATTAAGGATAAGACATTTTAAAGATTAAGGATAAGTTAGAAAATTTTTAATTTTTGGTAAGGAAAATATTGTTTGATTCAAAATACTCTACAATAATATGTAGTAAAAACATAATTGTTTTCATCCCTTCAAGGTTAAAAAACATTAACTTGATTTTTCTTAAATGAGAACCCCTATTTTGAATTTGTTATAATGATTTAAAATAAAAATATTAACAACTTTGCTCTTATAATTTTTTTTTTCCCATCAACCGTTCGTCTGTTAAAGCTTGTTAAAGTTAAATGATTTTGAACTAAATTTCTATTATTATTTTACTGTTTTGAATACAGTAGTCACTCATTTTCTATGGTGTAACATAAACTAATTTAACTTAATTCAGTTTATGTGGTTACGCTACAACTTTTAATATGTATCCGTCAACAAAAATAAAGATTACTTTGTTTAAGCAATGATTGCGATAACATTATCGTAATATTCGATTATTTCAAAAGTCACTGTACTACGCATAGAGTTGGGTTTTTCAAAGAAATTGATTCTTCAGTATTACAGTTTGTCTTACAAACCAATATACTGTGCTATTAATAATATAGTTAAGACCCGATTTGAATCTATTATTATTATCTCTCAATTAGTGTGTCGTAAATTATTATTGCTATTTTACATGTCATATCTTGGTCAATAAAAATTCGTTTATATTAAAAATAGTGACTTCTGTATTCAAAACAGTAAAATAATAGAAATTTAGTCCAAAACGATTTAACTTTAACAAGCTGATACAGACAAACGGTTGATCGGGAAAAAAAAATTATAAGTGCAAAGTTGTTTGTATTTTTATTTTAAATCATAATAATAAATTCAAAATAGGGGTTCCCATTTAAGAAAATTAAAATTAATGTTTTTTAACCTTGAAGGGATAAAAACAATTGTAGAGTATTTTGAATCAAACAATATTTTCCTTACCAAAAATTTAAAATTTTCAATAGTTACCCAGAAAATGAGTGTCTTAACATTAATGAATCACTCTGTATATATATAAATATATTTGTTCATATATTACACTTATAAATCATAAAACTTGTAATCAAGATATAAATAAGGAAATAGGAGATTATATAGCTATTGGAATAATCCATCAATTTTTTTAAATTAAATACTATCTACAGATTTGCATCGAAGCGTTTTTTATGATAGTGATTAAAATCACTGTCAGATATCATTATATTTGACCCAACTATGCCACGTCCCCACTTTACCGCGACTCTGTGCTGGGTTGTTTTTAATTGTTTTATTAATTATAATATTTTTTGTCTTGCTTTATTAAAAAAAACAATGTGTACATAAAATTTACAATAAGTTTTTTTGTTGACTTATTCAAATACATAACATTAATAGCGTTAAAAGGAAGTCACCCATTGGTAACACCTCGATTAGTTTTAGTTGAAGCTGTATAAAAGTTATGGTTTTATTGTTGTTGTTAATTTGTTAAATCAGTAGGTCTCGGTTCCATTTACGTTTGAATCTTCGGGGTGGGATGTCAGGTAATGAAGTTATGTACATATTTTTAATTAAAGGGTTTGAATTTGTATTAAGTTTTGAGTGAAATCTAGTATAGTGTAAAATAATAAGTTCTTTGGCAGTTTTGATGTTTAAATCTTTGTGTAGGTTATTATTTGTTACATACCACAGCGCACCAGTTAACACTCGTAATGTTGTATTTTGAAAGGATTGTATTGGTCGAATGTTGGATGGTTTAGCTGGTCCCCATATCTGTATACCATAAGAACAGACTGATCTGATTATTGACTGATAAAGAAGTAATTTTGTTTCGAGAGGTAATTTAGATTTTAGTAATGGACGAGAGATGAAGTATGCTGTTGGCTTTTTTCCTTTTGTCTTTCAGATGAGGTCCCCACGTCTGTCGTTTGTCTAAAATTATGCCTAGATACTATGTTTCATCAAGGGTATTAATTACTTTATTGTTTAATTTTATATCTGGGCATTTTTCAAATCTGAGGGTGACATTTATATAATACATTTAAACCACATGAAGACGTTGAGCCCGACTCTAATCATATTAATATGGTTAATAACTTTATCTCATGTCCTCTACCTATGTCTCCTCCTATTAAACCATTCAGTCCTGGAGAAATTGAAGCAACTATTAAAAAATTACCTAAAGGTAAAGCTACTGGGTATAACTTATATAAACCGATCAACCTGTTACCCACATTTAGCAAACTATTTGAAAAACTTCTACTCAAAAAGATTAGGCCAATATTACAAGAGCATCACATCTTACCCAACATCCAGTTTGGATTCCGTGAGAGACACTCTACTAATTATAATATTAGTAAAAATTCATTACTAATATAGTAGTCAATAGTTAAATGTTACTCGAATGATTTATGTTTGTTTTATAGATTCGTATTTTTTCCACTTTACCTCTTCGTCAATTTCAGTTCCTAATTCTTTGAATTTAAATCCATTTTTGTTATATGACTCACTATATGATGTCTGGCAAGTTGAATGAAAATCTCGAGTATTTAGTTGCTGTTCTTTCAATTCATTTAAAACTCTATCGGTCATGGTACGCCACATAAACTTTTCTAGGTCTCGTCGTTTGCGTTCTATTTTGATGAAAGATAAGTATAATTGAGTTTATACATTCTCGAATAGTAATAGAAATAATTTTATCTATGCAACAGACCTACTTCGTCGGTAGGTTCATTTTTTTGCAAGGGTACAATATAATGCTCTTTAGTGATCGATGTTTTCTTGTACTCATATGCGCCACCCGGCGACGTAAATATCCAACGTTGACTTTGCATATTTAGGAGGTATTGTTTTACGATAAAATTTAATATGAACTGATTATAATTGGCAAACACTTACATTGAACCGTAACCAAGCTAAGTGTACGAAATGATTGTTTGTAACAACTCAATATGATTAGCCAGCAGCTGAAAATAGCAAAGGCTACATACGTAGACATGCGCTACCAAATGGAGATTGGCGCCATAAGCAGTGTGTTCAAAAACTGTGCGATATCAGTCGCTTGAAAGCCGCCGCCGTTATCGCCGGTCTTCTTCACCGCACTTCCGCTGTAGTTCCTTTCGACGTATTAAAAAACGTGTTTCACTGCCAATACATCGCCCTTGTGGCATAAGCATAACATACACAACCGGAAAGCTTTGAGGAAACTTCGCGTTTTTGTTTTTTTTTTTTCGTGTAACTTTTTTTTTTCTGAGTGCGTGATAATATATATATAACTGACGTGTTGTATTTTAAAAATTGATTTTAAAATGAAAACAGTTTTTTATTAAAAGGTAAGTAAATTGTGAAAGAATTCTTTAAGGTAGTGACCATTGTCGTACAATTTTTTTTGAAAATGGTGTATTTTTTTTTTTTTGCTTCGATTTTTGTATCTGTTTTTTTTTTTTTAACACAAATATTTTATTAAATTATTATACTAAAAATATAACTGTCGCTTTTCAGGCTTCATGGCACGTAATTACTCGGTAAAATTATGTGGTAGTTAAAAGAATTATCTTATATTTATCACTGTAATATGTTTGTTCTGTTTTAATTTGTGCGAATGAAATTTAAAAAAACATATCAACAATTATTTATAGCAATATTTTATTTTTATTTGTATGAACAATTATTGTCAAAGTTATGAAATTGAATAAAATCAATAATAGCTTTAATGATTCTTCAATACAATACAGAATGACAGTTTGTTGTTAACAACCAGTAATAAGTATAGTTAAGATTAAAAAGGTTCAAAAGATGTTAAATAAAATTCATTTTATTCGTTAAAATTTGGTAAACAAACAGTTGCTTACACTGTACTAGAAGAAGAAACCAATAAAAATGTCATAAAATTTTCATGAGTAACGGACCTATTACATATAATACTATAATCAAACCTTAAATTCAATTAATGTTTATTTAATGCTTTTTAGATATTCAATTTAAGCATCTTTTATAACAATCAAATACTTCTAATATTGTTTATGATTATTATCCAAAATCTAATATGTAATTTTTAACAATTTACAAGGAAAGCAAAAACAAATTTTAAATTTCAATATATTCTTAAAATTACATTCCTAAAAAAATTGTCTTGGAATTTTTTGATTTATGACAGATAACATAATCTCTTGCATACTGTAAAACATATTAAAAATTCATCTTTGTGTTATATCAGGTTTTAAATATAAGCCACAAAATTATTTATTTTATCAAATATCTAATGGAATTTTCAATTTTAAAAATGTTTTATGAAAAATCTATATTAAGCTTATTTAACTTGAGAAACTTGCTTTTTATAGTTAATGGAATAGTTAAAAGAGCGAAAATTTTATACTTATCGACACTATTTTGTATTCCCCGCGGACGCAGAGTTTTCTGTCGTCGGCTTCTTGCAAATCGTTAAACTTCCATAAAATTTTAATAATTCATCCAACTTAAACTTTGTAAAATGTTGAAAATTTTAATTTGAAAATTTAAATTAATAGTAGTAATATTAAAATTTTTATTTATTATTTTGTGGTACATCAAAATTTAACGAAAGTCTTAACAATTAATATTTTTTAATTATCTTCTTATAACATAGATTAAATAATTGAAATATTTTTTGATAGGTATTTGAATAAAAATCATATTCTAAAATAGTTAATTATTTTTGCTTTTTCACATTGTCCCATATTTTTAATAATAATGTCACTAATCACAAAAACATTAGAATACATCTTTTATCTATGTGGTACACATCAGTACTAGGTCTTTTAACTCAAGTACAATGCTATAATTTTTTCAAACTCGTATTGTGCAAGTACTCAAGATTTAAGTCTAAAGCTGGACTAATGAAATCATATTAAATAAATTTAAAAATTAATCAGTTATTTGGCCGTAGCTAAACTAAAACTGATATAGCGCTACCCTTATCAGTAAAAATTTAATGAATACTAAATTTACTGATAATCCACATCTATAAAAAGGTCAATTAAATAAAAATACAAAAGTTATTTACTGCGTATATTTTAATAAGAACTTGGTTAGGCTCTTTAACTACGTTAAATTGGTTTCCTATTGTAGACTTTGAAATTTCGATCAATTAATCATTGTTTCATAAGCATAAGTTTAAGTTACGTATATAGGTAACATATTAAACTAGGTGACTTTGGAATCTAAAATCGTATTATATCTAAGTGCGTAGCTAGGCGTTGACTCATTTATCTTTCAGCTGTTGAAGAACAACTTTTGGTAAACGACAGAGCGACAAAATCAACTTAAGTCCATTTTGAACGTTATACGTTTACTATTATTTTGAGAATCGCTAACTTTCTTATTAAGATTCAAACTTAACTAATACTAGTTCAGTAAGTCCGCACATAATCACACCAAATATAATTAACTAATCATAAATTCTACAAAAAATTGTTTCTTAGAAAAAACACTTTTATTTGGAAAATTAAAGAAATTCTATAGTGTGTACAATCATTCAAATAAATCAAAACCAATGAGCATTTTTAAATTTAGGTAAATTAATTTCAATAAAAAAAAGTTCAAGTCCCTGTAAAATCAGAATGTATTTATATACACTCTGTAAGATATAATAATTATATTTTAATAATTACTAATACTGTGTAATACATTTATTTCAAATACGCTATTTTGATGTAAAATTGTTCATCATTTTAATTAATTAATGAAATAACTACCACGCTCATCTGCGATTCCGTAGCAGTAAAACGTGACTGAATTATTAATTAATCTTCAACACTTTAAATAATATGCCTTTTGCGCTAATTTACATTTGTTCAGATTAATTTCTTATTAAAATTTATACTTTTTTATTTCTTACACGTACACGTTTGTCAGAAAACAATCTAATATCATACTTTGTATATCACCAATTCAATGCTACATTAAAAATTACAGAAACTTAAACAATATTCTTTTAAGCTTTAATTTAAATAAAGTTAAATATTAACAATGCAGTGTACTATTTAAATGGGTTTCGGTCCGTTTTTAAATTTATAATGACATAATAAATAACAAGTGAGGAGTGATATATTATACACAAAAATCCTATCTATTGCACATAAATTTTCTAAAAATTAAATGACATTTATTTATTAAAAATATTTTTCTTGTATAATATTAATTGTTTAACTATATTTCAAGCTTACAATAGTATTTAATGAACATTTCATAAATGAGTACTTAAAAGTTTGATTGAAAAGAGAAGTTTACATTTCTATAAACAACATTTTAATTACTATTATATAAATAACAGCAAAAAAAATTCATTAATTTATTTTAAAAAAAAAATTGTACCTTCACCATATAATTTTTTTTATAAGGGATGTGATACCCTACTTCCCCAGAATTACGCCAGTAATTATACGTACCATTTATAAGAGATACATTTTACAATGATTATGTTATTTGATTTCCAAGTGGTTGAAAGCAGATTAAATTACAAGTTTCACAGAAAATTAAAATTAGTATATTTTACTGTTAATGCGATTAAACATACAACGATCAACATAAAATTCTTAGTAAATTTTAATACGATTCTATTAATCTCTTTTGAACGGATAAACTTTTTAATAGAAGTATCTTATCACCATAAAACTTAATGTATAAAACTTTATGATAGAAAGTATTAAATAAGTTTATCATAGTATCTTGAAAATTAAAAAAATATATTTTAAAATATCGATTTGGTATTTAAAAAAAAATTGTCTAAATTACTTTAGTTTAAATAATTGTTTTATGGAGTAGGATACAACACTCAAAAGTAACTACAAAGTTTATCAACAACAATACGTTCGAGTTAACAATGTGGATGATAGTGTTAAAGAACTATAACTTTAGTTTGAAACTTGTTATTGTCTTATTCAAGTTATAAATTTCACATAACATATTTGTAATGAATACATGGGTGCTAATTAAAATACACTTCAGATAACTCCTATTTATGTAATTGGCGTACGTTATTAAACAGTTTCTCGTATTATTTTTAAACGAATGCAATATTTTATTCTGTATGTTTACTGTTGACATCTTTACAGTGATCAACAAATTGTGA